TTTCATGATAGCCTAATCTTAATTACTTCCACTAGGAACCGTTAGATATCGATCTAATGTTATACATCAATATAATTATGGTATGGTTATAATTAATGATAGATCAACGTTTTTCATCTAAAAGTCGTCAAAATGTTATAAAAAGAATCAAAAAGTTCACGACCTTGACACGACCTTGAAGATCGGTGATTGGTAAAATGTGAAAACAACTCTTAATTTGAGTATTTCTTTCATTCATTTCGGAGAATTTTGGTATAACATTAGTAAAGAATTGTGTGAAAAGGACCAAATGATAGATACTTATCGGGAGAATGTATAGAATTACAATATATGTCATTTTATCCCGTTTTAGCGTAAGCACTCTATTATCGCCCACTTCACTTTCACTTTAATAACAAAATATGAGGGACGCAAAAAAAATTAGACGGGACTCACATTTTTCAAATGTGTTGCGTCCCTGGGACTCAGAAATTTAAATGGCTAGCGCGAACACTGCATTTAAGAAAGGCCACCATTTTCAAAATGGTTGCTCACTTGCCAAATTGTCATCAGAAAGGCACATATAATACTGATGGACTGCGGAATGAAAATACATTGAACAAGGTCTATATCTGAGTTATTGACATTTGTTTGGGTTTCCTTTTTTGGCTCACTCTGTAATCAAAAAATCTCAGTTCAGAATTATTTGTAATTTAAATATAATTGAGATATTCCATTGCACAGTCCAGGGCTATGAGGGCGAAGTAAACATTGATATAGAAGGCTGACAAATTGATCTCTCTAAATTATATTATTACTAACATAAGACAAATTGTATTTATAAAAGTTCCTGCTCATTTCTTCTGCTTGTCATAGCCATTATTTATGATCTACAAATGACTTTGTTTCCAAACGGATGCAATTTGTAACTATTGATTGAGTTATTGAATTATTACATATAGATATTGACATTGTTTTAATAGATCAAGTATTTCAAGCCAATACAAATGGCAAGACTTGAGAGATTTGATTTCCCTCCTGAATTTAATCTAAATATATCTGATATCAGTGAAATTAAAAATTCAAGATGCAGTAATGACCAAATCCTTAAAAGTTACAAAAGGGACATTCCTTTTTCAATGCATGCTTATTGCCAAATTAATATAGAAGTAAATCATTTTTATAAAAGAAAGTTAAAGAAGAGAGAGATGATACTAGATTGAAGTTTTGTGCATCATTAACGAATGGGAATAGGGCATGTGATAGGTGATTTGTTATTGATGTCATACATTAGGTGGATGAAGAGAATAGTCAGAGAGGCGGAAAAGTATAACTAATTTGTTTCCTCAAAAGCTATTCACTTTTTATATCCCATCAAACAAAGTTGATAAAAAGGATGCCTCAGTTAGAGTCTGTCCATCCGTCTGTTCATCTTTCAAAAGTATATGAATGTCCTGGTCTTGTTTCCCCCCATGAAGTTCATCATATGAAAGAAGTACTGCTCCATAGCATGAAATGGCAATTTGTTTTTAAATGATTTAAGTAATTATTTTATTTGTAAATAAATAGTACAGTATTATATATTCCAGTAATGAAGACCATCATTATTTTGACAATATACTTAATATTTTTCGGATCAAATTAAAGTTTTAAGTAAAAACTAAATTAAAGAAGAACAGTAAAGATGTAAATAACTTCAATTCTGAAATAAATAAGAGTTTGTTTAATAATTATGACAGGTTTGCCTCTAATTCCATCCCCAGGGTAGTCATAAAAAGGTTTTTAATGGGGACAAAGTGTCTTTTACGAAACTGCAACAGATGAAAACATTTTCGGTTTAATCTGTCTGACTCTTCATTACATTTACATAGGTGCCCATTTACATAGGTGCAAAGTATCACTACAAGCAAAATGGCGATAAAAATAATGAAGCAACTAGAACTCAGAACCAAAGTAATTACCATCGGCAGATAACAGTGATGATAACATCACTCATTATTGCTCATAGCGCTAAACATGTTAAAAAGTTAAAAGGGAACAATATTGATAAAAGCGATATTCTCTAATAATATCTGCTCTTGCTAATTTCAGGTGTGCCCTATAAATATGTTATTACTACCTTGTCGGGCCAGTTCTATGGGTTTTAGTGTTAGTTTAGAAGGCATTCATTTTACTATATCGACCTTAGCAATATGTGACGTCATAGTGGCGGTCAATACTGCCGGTCGAGAATGCATTTAATTTTCCCCGTGAAATTAGATATCGTTCAGTGCGTAAGATTTCCTTGCTGTTTCAGTCCTGGTCATTAACGGTGGTAGTGATACTTATAACGCCATTTCTGCGGGCAATATAATGAAGTATTGGACCGAGGTCTGAAGTACTATTGTACTATTCTTCAGACCAAAAACATTTTTAAAATTTAGACAGCAGAATAAGTGAAGCTTGTATCAATTTCTAATAAAAAAACATCTCATTGAAGTAACAGGGGCTGGAAATAATTAGTTACATTCTGCACCAAAGTTCTTTATTAGTCAGTGTATGTTTCAGCACACCTGGAATTTGAACCAAAATCTATAAAGGTCTTCAGTATGATGCATGTGCAGTCAGTGTAACATTACTCTTACTTAAGACCCTGGACCTCCCCATTCTGATACTCAGACTATCTCTGCAATGCACTAGAAGGAAACTGAGAGAAGGCTGTGATATCTCACGATGGGACCTCCCTCCCCCTTATTTACTTCACCAGTGTTGTGTTAGTGAAAGTGAAGTACATGGTGGGGGGGGGCTAAGTCTTGAAGCAAGACTGTGTAATGCATACTTTTATCTGAACAGTCACCAAATCAACAGTTTTGCAAGCATAATGGTATATTGATTTCTGATCTTTTTACATCAAGTATTCAGATTCCTTATCACAATCCATTTATAAGTAAGATTAGAAGTAGGAGTTTGATTAATTTGATATTACTTTTCTGTTAGAGATGTCATTTCTTTATATTTCACTACTGGGATTGCTTCTGAAATGTAATATGTCCAAGCCATGCATTATAGGATTATTCGTAAGGACAGTTCCAATTGCCATACTCATAAAATAGAATGAAGAATGAAGGATGATAGTTAACACCATTATAAGGTGGTAACATGTTTTTATAGCCTCTGTTTTGTGACTGACATTCTGGGGTCCGCATCTGTAACAGATCGTTACAGTTTTATATTGCCTACCTTGTTATGACAGTCATTGACAGTTATGAACGATGGATTATGTGGCATTCACATAGCTGGGCAAGGTGTATCCATTTCATGGTAATCAATACACGCCATTTCATGTAAATGCATTCCGTTATATAACCAATAATGCATTTTTTGTGGTTGTCACGTTGATAACTGGACTCACAGATGGAAATTGATGCTTTGCCAACTTGACCCTTGCAAAAAATCTCTTTTGCATCTTTTAGATGATTTTGTAGAAAATATTTTGCAATGTGTATTGTGTATTCTTCCCTAGCTATCCATATATCTCTGAAAGTCAGATCATTCAAATCATGATTGCTTGTGTGCTACATGAAGCCATCAACGCCTCAAGAGGTCATCAACATGAAGGAGAAAGCCAACTCAGTAGATAAGACTTTATTAAGGAATTGTTGTTCCAGATTGTGTTTGTTCACAAGTAATGAGATGATTTTGTTACAGTAATGATGGAATATGATGTGATAAAATCTATAATTGATGGCTATGTTACAAACAATGTATTGTTTGATCATTATCGGATTGTTACTTGGTAAATTAACCTTTTGAGATTATACCAATGTCCATTATGTTTCTTGGCATCTCAGGATCTATAATTGGCCATAATTATTTTATCCTTAATCTCTTTAAGGGTAGACCCATGTTCTAGAATGGTAATGCTGTTCAGTTCATGAGAAGAATTAGATATACAGTGAAACCTGCAAAGTGGAACACCTCTTTTCAGAATCCCAAGACCATCTGACTTAATGTTAAATGAACCTCTATAAGTAAAACACCTCCCAAGTGGAACACATTTTAGAGGTACCAAAGGTGTTCCACTTAGACAGGTTTTACTATGTTAAATCATATGATAAATGTAGTGACTTCTCTTTTAAGAGGCAATAAGACATGTTTGTTGCTATTTCTCCTTTCGGAGACAATGAGAAACATGTTTATGTGTCGATTTCTTCAGGAGACAATGATATATTCGTTATGTACAATTTGTCCTTTCACAAACAATGAGATCTGTATGTGGCTACAAATATTTTGCATTAATACAGGCTTGTAATCTTGAAGCCTTGGTGCCTCATCTTGATCAAGGTATTGTATATGACTGAAGGAATACACTAGTTTAACAGTATGTCCTTCATTGAAAGGGCAAAACCTTTATGTCACTGAATCATCATAAAGCTACTCCTTATTCTATATTCTGAATGCATCAAATCTTTCTGTGTGAATTCCTAAGTTAAATATTGATAAATGAAGAGGGAGCCAGGGAAACTCTAATTTAGCGTTTGGGAATTACGGAAGGAATGTAAGCTGAATATTGAACATTTTGTTCTTATAGAGCTCCAATTCATCACAAAAGAGCGTAAAATAACTGACTATTAATATACTTGCTACTGACAAAATGTGAATGTCATATGATTTAAAAGACAAAACCTTTTAGGAATAAAAGCATTTTATGTTTATGGTGCAAAACATTATATGTGTAGCTGTATAATAAATACTCGTACTCAATTACGTTAGAACAGAAGTTAGAATAGATGTAATATAGGATGTAGAAACTAGATATGATATAGATCAACCGCCTCATTTATTTCGGTGTCATTGCCTTTAGGTGACTGTAAACTGTACACCTATTCATATCAAAATATGTGTTGAATTTAATGGTAGTCATGTAAGGGCAAAGGTTGAGAACTCTTTACTAAACTATTACAAGGATCAGGATCATAAATTATATTTTTATATTAATTGCCAGACATAAAAATAACATTTTTTGCATTGTGTATTTTTAGTCGGTTTGGCATTGAACCAGAGGCCTGGTTAGTCCAATACAAGTGAGGAGAAGGTGATTCAGGCTTTTAATGATCTCGCTGTGATGTTGTCAGAGCATAGAAATAGATTGGAGGAGAGGAAGTGAATCTAGATAAGGAGAATGGGCATCCTGTTTGAAGCTTTCCCTGTTGTCACTTCACATCATCCTTTAGGAGTGTTACAGTGCCTTGGAGAACCATAAAGATGCAGGGTAAAAGCTTAGGGACGTCAGTCATATCTGGTAAGATATTTTTATTGATTTTGCCAAAAGTGTTATTTCATAAATCATTGTGTTTATTGAAAGGAAGTTGAAACACAATGACATTGGAGTGATGTTATTGATTATGTGTGGAGTCTTTATTTATATGTTCACATCACCTTTAAAGACAAATTAAAATAGTAATAGTTTGCGGTTAAAATGAAGTTATTTCTTGAACATGGGAATGTGCCCTGATCAAAATGATGAATCAAATTTTGAATTCAGTTTTCTTCCTGAATAATAGAAATGAAAATGAAACATGATGATTTATTCATGAAGTAATCAACATATTTATTGAAATTGATGAGTACACACATGAAACTAATTATCCCAATGAATGGGGTTCAATTGGGATATAGTGCAGCCCTCCATCTATCAGTCAGTCCATCCATTTGGAAAATAACTCAAAAACTGGTTGATGGATTTTCTTCATGATGGAAAGATGTACAAGATTGATCAATAGTTTTACAAAAAAAAATTTTCAAGATGGCCAATGCAGCTATGAAAATGAAAGAAATTTTTCACAGTAATCTAAGTTTTAATTTCCAACCAAGTAATGACTAAGTACATGTATTGCTGTTTGAAAGTTGCAATATTTTTTGATAAAATATCTTTTTCACATTTGTACAGTCTACATGTATATTACCTTTAAATCTAAGGTATTTTAAAGTAGATCACATATATCATATCTTTCTGATTTAAATGGCTATCCAAACATTGAACATGTGGAAATTCTGAGATTTCATTGATTCTCCTATGTTATTATAGCTTTTTAAATGCAAATTTAAGGTTTATAAAAATAGATTGAAAATAGTGTATTGTGACATTTTTCTCAATTCATGAATAATTTGTTCATTGGAATTTGCTTTTCTGTGGAGTTGCCATTTAGTTTAGAATCAAAATGTGAAGTAATAATAAGAGGAATTAGTTTTAATATTTCAATTTCCTTTAGATACACAACATCAGAAAATACATACAGGGTGTTCCATATGTTTCAGGAATGATGCTGTATTTTATTGGTTTTCTTTTCAATCTAGCTGATTTTTTGATTCAATGTGTCCAAATATGTTGTGAATAAGTTGGAAAAGTTTCATATCATGAAACTCACTAGACTGAATAATATGGTTGCTATAGTAACCTAGGGGTAGGGTAGGTGGAGCAGGTGTAACAATGCGCATAACATGACATTTTTGTAAAAAAAGTAGTTTTTGTATAAAGTGTTCAAAGTATTAATTTGTCATAGTCGCATCAAACTTGTTGGAAATTAAAAAGAATAAAGGTGGATTCCTGGAAATTAAAAATGTTATCACACCCTTTATTAGCCATCATCATTATTTCAGCATCTATCCCTTCCGCATTAGTTAGCACTCCCACTGTTCTCGGATGTCCACATTTTGGATAATCAGTCTCAGTTTCCCTTCCAGAATTGAACCTCTTGTACCACTCATACACTCTAGAGGTTACCATCATTGAGCCCCCATGTGCATTCGTTAGGAGTTTAATTGTGTCTGCTGCAGAAAACTGTTATTCACACATGTCATGTCTTGTCACAGATTGTTGTTTGTTGCCTAAGTCGAAGGTTTTCCTAAGCTAATGACTTTTTCACTTTTCAAGATGGCCGCCTGTCCAAAATGATCTGTGTTTATTCTCCTTTGTGACTCATGACATGACAGGTGTTTAAATTTTGATGTGATCAAGGGTGATGACATTTTTTACTTTCTTGTTATTATTATTATAGCTTTTTAAATGCAAATTTAAGGTTTATAAAAATAGATTGAAAATAGTGTATTGTGACATTTTTCTCAATTCATGAATAATTTGTTCATTGGAATTTGCTTTTCTGTGGAGTTGCCATTTAGTTTAGAATCAAAATGTGAAGTAATAATAAGAGGAATTAGTTTTAATATTTCAATTTCCTTTAGATACACAACATCAGAAAATACATACAGGGTGTTCCATATGTTTCAGGAATGATGCTGTATTTTATTGGTTTTCTTTTCAATCTAGCTGATTTTTTGATTCAATGTGTCCAAATATGTTGTGAATAAGTTGGAAAAGTTTCATAAAACTCACTAGACTGAATAATATGGTTGCTATAGTAACCTAGGGGTAGGGTAGGTGGAGCAGGTGTAACAATGCGCATAACATGACATTTTTGTAAAAAAAGTAGTTTTTGTATAAAGTGTTCAAAGTATTAATTTGTCATAGTCGCATCAAACTTGTTGGAAATTAAAAAGAATAAAGGTGGATTCCTGGAAATTAAAAATGTTATCACACCCTTTATTAGCCATCATCATTATTTCAGCATCTATCCCTTCCGCATTAGTTAGCACTCCCACTGTTCTCGGATGTCCACATTTTGGATAATCAGTCTCAGTTTCCCTTCCAGAATTGAACCTCTTGTACCACTCATACACTCTAGAGGTTACCATCATTGAGCCCCCATGTGCATTCGTTAGGAGTTTAATTGTGTCTGCTGCAGAAAACTGTTATTCACACATGTCATGTCTTGTCACAGATTGTTGTTTGTTGCCTAAGTCGAAGGTTTTCCTAAGCTAATGACTTTTTCACTTTTCAAGATGGCCGCCTGTCCAAAATGATCTGTGTTTATTCTCCTTTGTGACTCATGACATGACAGGTGTTTAAATTTTGATGTGATCAAGGGTGATGACATTTTTTACTTTCTTGGAATCCACTTTCATTTCTGTTTAATTACTGACGAGTTTGATCCAACTCTGACAACCTAATACTTAGTCACACTTCGTACAAAAAAAACTATTTTCACAAATATTTCATATATTTTGTGCGTTGTTACACCTGCTCTACCTACCCTTCCCCTAGGTTACTATAGCAACCATATAATTAAGACTACTGAACTTCACGATGTGAAACTTTCCCAACTTATTCAAAACATGTTTAGACACATTGTGTCAAAAATTCAGTTAGATTAAATAGAAAACCAATAAAACACAGCATCATTCCTGAAACATATGGAACACCCTGTACTTCACAGGTGATGATGGGGACCAGGCCTGTAGCCAGGATTTGCCAAGGGGGTTCACTTTTTGAAAAATTCCAGGGGGGTTGACTTGTGACAATTTTGGTCCAAAAATGGCCAAAATCACTTAAAAAGTGCTCAGATTCACTCCACCCATCGAACCCTCCCCTGGCTACGGGCCTTTTAAATTCAGAAAACATAAATATGATATGTAAACTAGATAACGGCAACTCCGCGGAGTAGCAAATCCCAACGAACAAAATATCAATTACTGAATTCCAATCATTACTTTGGTTAAAATTGAAAAAATTAGATTTTAGAATTGCGAATTCCTGCAAAGCAGCCATATTGAATTTTCTGAGGTACAAATCTGAAAAATAATACCATAATTGTGATCTACTCCAAAATTCCTTCAATATGAGTATAATATAGCCATACTTTGAAGGGATCGAAAAATTATTGCGTAATCATACATTAGACGGCCATTTTGAATTTTACGAGGCTCGAATCAGAAAAAAGATACAATATTTGCAATCTACTCTTAATTGCCTTTCATTTGAGTATAATAAAGCTATACTTCAGAAAGATCTAAAAATTAGCGAAAATCTCTGTTTTCCTGACCCCCCATCAGGGGCCCTGGGGGTAGTTTAGTTGTGTTTATTAAACAGATTCATATACAATAATACAAAAAAATATGCTGCCAAGCGCCAATGGCATTACTGGCTAGCATTTATTAATTTCATCTGTAGTGAAATATCATAAAATAAAAACATAGATGTGTGTGCTTAATTGCATAGTTTATCCTGGTGTTTGCCACATTCTACCCAAGACAGAAGCACTTTAAGTATCTTGATGCATTATAAAATTAATGAATTTTTTCTTTAAAATACTATCTTTTTCTAGTGACAGATCGTTTTCAAACACTAATGCCTTAATTCTATCCTCTTGTCTCCGGGGTAACAGGTTCTCAAGGTTATGCTGCTCAAGGGACTCAATAAACTCATGTCGTCTTGTAGAAAGGCGCTGACAGTTAAAGATGAAATGCTTAGGCGTTTCACTCTCACCACATATACAAAGGTTATCAGAGATGCCAGTAAAATTATGCGCAAATTTTTGAGATTTGAAGTAAAGACCACATCTTATTCGGTTTAAAATGATTTCCTGTTTACGAGATAGGTTGAGTTTGGATGTGGTGTTAAAATTTTGAAAATCCTTTGTTTTCTTCCTTACCGTAGTTTTAAAAATTGATATTCTGGGTATTACCCTCTCCTCTTCACTTAGTTTGTTCCATTGGTTTATTAACCTCAACACAGGGGATTTCCTTAGCCGGGCACTCGCCTTGACTGGAATTTTGAAGGGTTGGTGAGATCTGAGATCTCTGACTTGTTCATTTTTGTATTTGTCAAAAAGTTCAGTTATGTAATCAGGTGATAAGCCTCTACATATTTTATACATAATAACTAGATTTTTGTCATTTCTTCTCATTTCGAGAGTTTTCCATTTTAGGCAGTCCAGGGTTTTGAGGGTACACGAGCCATGCAGGGCTCCTGAACAAATTTTCGCAGCTTTGTAATGAAGTTTGTCAAGTTTAGCAAGGTTTTGAAGTGTGCTACCTCCATAGATGGAGCTGCAGTAGTCCATATGAGAAAGGATATAAGCTTTATAAATAGTTTCGAGATGTTTAGAGTTAATTTTATGGCTTAGTGCTTGTAAAGGGTTGAGTTGCTTTTGAACTTTACTTGCTAGTTCATTTATATGTATATCAAACTTTAGCCTGTTGTCGAAAGTGAAGCCTAGGTGTTTGTGGGATGTTTTATAGGGAATTTGTGTCCCTTCAAAGAAAAGGGGCATGGGGTCAAAATTATCTATGTGCTTTGGTTGAAAAATCATATGCGCACTTTTTGAGGCCTTGAATTTTAAGTGCCATTTAGCAGACCACTCTTCAAGAATGTTAAGGTCATGTTGGAGGTCAAAAGTTTGATTTAAGGCTGTGTCAAAAGAAGCATATGCTGAGGTGTCGTCAGCGTAAATGAAACACTCAGAATTTAGATTTTGCGGAAGGTCATTTATATAAAGAAGGAACAGCAGGGGTCCAAGAACAGACCCCTGAGGGACTCCTGTGTTGATATGGCCGATATTTGAAAATTTTGATTTTGCATCATCCACTGTAACACAGATTTTCCTTTGTGATAGATAAGATTTCAAAAGGGTCAAGGTCAGACCAGAGATTCCATACGCTTTAAGTTTGTGTAAGAGTAGTGCATGCGGAACAGAATCAAACGCAGAGGAAATATCTAAAAAACAGGAATTAACTCCTTTGCCCTTTTCAAATTCATTTAAAATAAAGTCAACTATAGCTGTTATTTGAAGTTCCGTGTTATGTCCAGGTAAAAACCCAGATTGCTTATGGTAAAGAAGCTTCTGGTCAAAAATATGCTCCATTAAATGGAAGTGTATAACTTTCTCTAAAATTTTGGATAGACTTTGCAGTAGTGTCACTGGTCTGTAGTTTTCAATTGTTGTTCGGTCGCTTTTTTTGAAGATTGGAATTGTATTTCCTTCCTTCCAGACGGATGGAAATTTTCCAGTTTTGAAAATCAGATTAAATAGATCAGAAAGTTTGGATGACAGTGAGGGAGATGCTAATTTGATCATATTATTAGTGATATTATCAATACCAGGGGCTTTGTCCCTTTTTAGAGTACCTATAATTAGTGCAATATTTTCTGGAGAGGTTTCAAGATTACCGATCTGTATGTGGGTTCTGTTGTCAAATTCTGGGAGATTCTGGTTAAAATTTATATCAGAGTGGTATTTGGAGGAGAAAAACTTCAAAAAAAGATTAGCTTTTTCAAGGCTGGTTGACGCAATTGTATGTCCAAGTTTCAGTGTGGGGAAACCAGAGTAGAATTTTCTGTTCATAAGCTTTTGAATCAGTGTCCAGTATTTGCTACCACTGTTATTTTCAGTGGACAAGTTTTCGCAAATTTTTGAATTGTATTCATCTTTAGCTTCCCCTGGGGGTCAGGATGAAAAACACAGAATATATGTGGAATAGATAAATGTTGTGAATATACTACCAAAATTTCAAACAATAATATTAATTACTTTGGTTTAGAATGAAAAATTTATGATTTTTGCGAAAAAGTCCCGTCATTTTTAAAGCGGCGGCCATCTTGAAAAATTCTTTTTTTGCGTAAAACTATTCACCAATACACATCTTTCCGCTAAATATGAAGAAAATCCGTCTACTAGTATTTGAGTTATCTTCCGCACGGACAGACGGACGGACTGACGGATGGACTGACTGACGGACGGACGGAGGGCTTCACTATATCCCTACCGAACTTCGTTCGTTGGGATAAATATACCTTTTTAATAACCTATATATTAAAAGTTGGGTAAGTTGAGGGCTAAGAGGGTCGATTTCCCTATTTAACTAGAGCATTCACAATGAATTATGGTTTACAATGCCATGTAAAACAATCAAATTAGTTCACTGTGTCTGTTACTGTGTGAAACCAGGTGGTAATACTTTACACTCTAACTTTGTTATTCATAATTGCCTGTGTTTCATCTATTATGGCTTTCAGTTCCAGGGTTCTAAGAGGTAGGCCCCCATCTCATCAACCCATTAGTTTTGACAAGGAACCAGCTGATAATTTCCTTTATATATAGTTCTCAGATGTTCAAATCTGACTTTAGATTTGAAGTTTCATTGACCTTCTCAAGGTCAAAAAGGTCAAAAAAGTATTTTTCAACTTGCTTCAAATTGACTTTTTTCAAAATCATCTACAAGTTCTTAAAAGTTCATATCTGACTTTATATTTGAGATCTGACCTTCAATGACCTTCTCAAGGTAAAAAATAGGTCGAAGGGGTCTTTTTCAACTTGCTTCAAATTGACCAAATTTTCGTCTAAAATTATCTACAAGTTCTCAGAAATTCAAATCTGATTTTTAGATTTAAGACTTGACCTGTCAAATATGTATTTTTCATAATATTGTAAGCAACTAGGTGGTGACATTTTTTCATGTTAATGCCTTGTTTTTTCTATTTCAGTGACTTTCATATTGAATGTGGTCTCTTCCCAAAGCGGTATACTGGGTATTGCCAGTACTGAGACAATGGCCTTCAATACAAGTGTTCAACCCAGTGGAACAATTCAACAGAGTGTAACAGGTCAATCTAGTATAAAAGTTACACAACCGAGTGCAATTGTTCAATCAAGTGCATCAATGGAGCATTGGCCACAGAATGGAACAATAACCCATCAATCGAGTGCAGCTAAGATACAATCAAGTGCAACAGATACACAACTGAGTGCAACAATATTACAACAGAGTATAAAAACTCACACAAGTTCAATTATACAACCAAGTGCAACAATAAAGCAACTGATTGAATCAGATACCAGTGTAATATTAACAAGACCATTTGAAACAAATCTTATATCATCAACAATTGTTTATCAAAGTGCAACATTTATGGATTTAGATTCAAGTAGTGCAATTTCAAAATCAACTTGGTTCGAATATTTGGAAACTATGAGAGAACCATTTAGCATAATGCCAACTCACACACAGTATTTGTCGAGCAGTGAATACAAATCCAAGGTGACAGAAATGGAAGTTATCTCTAAAAGTTCAACATTAATAACCCCTTTGTTGACCCATACAGCTGAAAGCATCTCAACTGGGACTATTTCTCCCATAACCACATCACCAATACATTCAACTTCAATCTTAGACTCACCCATTATGAAAAACAGTTCAATGTGGTGGCCAACCCAAAGTAAAGGACTTAGCTCAATCAGTGCTGCAGACATCACCACAGTGGTTCCTAACCCATGCCAGTCATCTCATAGCAATACGCCATCAAATAGTACATCATCCCCGCAGGAAGTGAATTGCACCCTGGGTCCAACATCTTCACCTATACATTCATATCCCACCGAGCGCTGGTCGCTAGGAGCAATCATTGGTACAATCCTTGGAATTGCCTCCTTTATATTAATCATAGGTGAGTAAATCATATGTGAATCAATTTGTAGGATTTTTGCAGTAACTTATGAAATATCAAGAAGTCTGAATATACATCTTGCTGGCAAGAATTTTAAATGTCTGTTAGACTGAAACTTTTTTATTATTTATAATGTGAGCAAAGTACCCATCATACTATTTTCTATCAAACAAGCTTGTGATAAGAGTGTCCTAATATAATGTAAAGAAAAGTCAGGGAATCTTTATAATTCCTTCGAACGAAGTTCGGAGATATAAAGAACATCTCCGTTTGTACATCCTTCCATCTGTCTAGGCAATAACTGAAATATCATTATTTTACATATACATATTTAATGAGTTTTTGCTGTTTTGGGAAATCTCAAAATACCGTTGAATGACAATACATGATCCAAAAACTATTGACTCATCTTTGCCCAATTAAAATCAAGCATTTCAAATGAAGTGTTTGTTAACAATACTTAAACTTTCTGTCCCTTCAGGTGGTATAGTGGCATACATGCTATACTGTAGACGCAGTAGACGTAAGATTGAAATGAACAAAGATACAACAACCAGCTATGGGTTCAGTTACTTCTCTACCAACTGGGGCGATAGTGTCACTAGTCTGAATTACCTCAGTACCAACATACCATTGCCAAAGGTAAGATCTTCAATATAGTTTGCCTAGTGAAATTTCACCTGGGCAATTTTTAATTAAAAGAAAACCCAGTGAAATGACTGTTGTTGTATGAAACAGAGAGAAGATTCAAGTTACCATGTTTGTAATCCCATGGAACATCATTCTTTTATATGTTAATGCATTAAGACCAGAAGACAAGAGATTTTCTCAAAATGGCCATTATTTTGAAGAAAAAAATGAAGTTTCTGGTAACTTTAATACTAAATGATATGGTTTGTTCCAAGTTTCAGTTTGGTAATAGCACCGCTGTTCTAGAAGGATTTTCTAATATATTCCAGGGTTTTCACTCTAGAATTTCTCACATCAGGCTAATAGATGAAAACAACAGGCAAAATTAATGGAAATCATAAATTTTACATGGATAAGTTGAAAAGTCCCAAAAAACAACAGACGATTTTGTGAAAACAACCGGTGAAAATCGCCCTTTGCCTGCTGCTCATGAAACCCCAGGAGTTGCTGAATTAATTTTGGCCACTACTTTTTCAATTCTTCATTTTTTGTTTATACCTTTGATTTTTGATTGACCGTTCAAACTTATGAGTGATTTGATAAAATATGTCTTGTTCAGTGGGGTTAGCTCTTGGGAGTTCCTGTTTCTAGAAACCATTGTTTTGAGGTCCTTAATCCTTTATAAGCAATCATCTATACTTTTTAAAGATCTCGAGGATTTTGTTTCAACAAGCATTTTACGATTTTAAAGATACTCTATTGAGACTGCTCTGTGGCATTTTTTCTTTATTCCTTTTTGTTTTGAATTTTTAACACCATAACATTAACTAACTACTCAATATGCAACTTTTCACCACGTAGAATTTTAAAATATTAAGTTTGAAAATTCCATTTTTATAATGGAGCTCAATGGGAAAAACTACATAATTTGAATTATTTTCAAACGTAGCGGCGCGATTTTGATAAAATTGACAGATATAATAAATATTGGTAAGACGAAATGTTTGATGAAAAATGAAGAAAATTCACCGTCCTGGTTACGCAAACTATAGAAAAATCTGAAATAATCATAAAAACCTGTAAAAATAGATTGAAGGGGGTGATATTCATTTCTAATGTGCCTTTCACTACTACAGGGTAACCATAATTTTGGTACTGATTTGATTTTTCAATGAAAATCATTTCTATAGTGTATAGTCAGTTTAAATAACACAATTGCTATATTTCTTTACTGAACAGTGCAATCATTTATTTATTTATCAACAGTAATGCAAACTACATATTATACAGTTAGTAAAATATTAAAATAATTCTATTAAAATTAAAGCATTGAGATGATACTTAAATAATTACATATTATATTGATAGGCATATTATATTATAGGATTTAAGCCAATGACTCAATGCATTGTAGATGATTAAATTTAACATATGTCCTGATTCTAGACTATGAACGAGGGTGGTAGTCCAAATTCAAAGCCTAGACTAGAAGACATAAGTGAATTGAAGCATCCACTATTCATTGAATCATGTGCTTTAATTCAATTTCACACATTGCAAAATATTTTTTACAATTTCACTTAACAGAATGATATTTTTTCAAAGATATGTTGTACTTTTAGAATCATTTGCTTCAAAGAATTGAACTATGGCGGCCTTTACTCGTTATTTTACGATTTTTGCTGTAACTCGAAAAGTAGTCGAGCGATTTTGTTCATATTTGGTATATGAATACTATAAGCATGGCACACTGTCTAATGACACTTTTGGTAGAAGGCAGCCATTTTGAAAAATGGCCGTCCTTTTAACGTATTTTACTATAACTCGAAAAGTAGTAGAGCGATTTTGTTCATATTTGATGCGTGAATACTATAAGCGTGGCACACTGTCTAATGACACTTTTGGTAGAAGGTGGCCATTTTGAAAAATGGCTGCCATTTTTGCTGTATACTTTGTTTGTAAAAAAAATGCCAGCCATGGCTGTTCGATGGGATTTGCTACACTTTGGTGTTGCTGTTGTCTAGTTGAAGGATGGATGGACGGACAAATGGAGGGGTCTCTTAGCTTATCCCCTAATCTTCGTTGGATTGAACAATTGTGAATATGGTTTGTTGGACAAATAAAACTGATTGAATGTCTAAAAGCAAATAATGAAGTGGTAATTTATTTAAAATCATTAAAATCTCAAACATGCTTGCTTTGGTCTAGTCACTTAATTCCTAAATGTCCCGTAATTAGTATCTATATACCTTATTAGATGCAGTGAAGGAGTTAAATCATTGGGATATGAATAAATCATGCAAAACATATTTTGTACATATTTCTCATCATTTAGGGTTACCCAGTAGTTTACAAGCTGACCTTTGCAAAATATATTTCACTTACTATCCTCATTCGCTATCACGCTATCTAGTTTCTTTCCAAATTGGCCTGAATTGCCTGGTTTATTGGTTTTAGCGAACCGTCTGTTTCGTCGAACCATCATTTTGCTAAGGTTGTTTGTGATGAATATACAATATTCAGTTACATATAACTGTACAGCAACTTTATGCAAGGGAAGGTAATTGTGTGAGAGCACATAAAGTACACGAAGTATTGACCCACTTGTCTCAGTGAATCTTATAAACAGTGCATAAAGTTTTTTCTATGCAATGATTGGCTCACAGTTACTTATAGTGTAAGTCATTTTATTTCTATACAGTGTGGAATAGAGTGTATAAACTTTTACAGTTTCAAGCAGGTTTTAGTGTTTTCTGACCAATGATATATTCAGACTTATTCATTTCACGATTATGTAATACTGACCTACATATCTGTATAGCATATCTTTAAATCAGTGTTGATTTTGTGCTAAAAATAGAACGAACAGTTAAAAATGAATCAATAGTAATATTAGTTGTTGCATCATGGAGTTTTAAAAGAACCAGTTGCATTTAGTAGGTCAGTTTGACCTGTAAATGTTTTTATATAGTTTTTTTTTTAAAAATTGAACATTGCAGATAAACTTCAATTCTGGTTAATTTATGAGAGAAAATCAAGATCACCACCAGCTTAAAATAACAGTTAAGTGCAGTTCAAGTTCAAGATTTAATTGACAGGTCTATTTTTGGAGTGAAATTGATGGCCTGTGTTAAAACTTCAAGGTCAAGCTGATCTGGTCACTTTCTAAGACAATTTTAAAAATACATTTGTCTGATATTGGTCTATTTCATACCTATAATTCTCAATTAAAACACATTAATAGAAAAGTTTACCTTCCAAATCATTTTTGGCTGTCTAATATAAGTTTGTTTAAGAGGTTTTAATCAGAAATATTGCAATCTTAAAGGTTTTTTTGTAGCATTTTCTGGGACCATTTTGTCAAAGAATTTCAGGCAATAACATGATCTTCCATGTTCTGGGGTTCATGATCCCTCCCAACAAAGTTTAAATTTGGATTTCACTAGCAGACCTATGGGGTGGCACCTGGGGCGCCCCCCCCCCCCAAATTTCTTAATTTTTCAAATAATTCTTTTTCAAAAACATACACAGTCTTCTACATTTAAGGCATATGGACCTGGAATTATTCCTAGAATATTCACTACAAAAAAGTCCAATAAAATAAAAAACCTGTCTCAAAAAGAAGCCTTTCTTCATGGAGTGGGAAAATGCTAATTGTGTCAAATTGCGTCCATTTTCATAAAAGTTTTATCATTTATAAATCAATTACCAGTTATCAAATTTAGTTACGAATAAAAAAATTAATTTTTGACAACATTTGTCAGCTTGGAGAATAAATATACATTGTTGGTTCATATTTTAAAGGCTGATGCCTCATAGGAATTTCTATAATGGCATTGTGTTGCATAATGTGTGTAGATTTGTAATAAACGAGAGATTTGATACTGAGGGAGGAGTAAAACAAAAACGTGATGCAAAACTACAAGGTTGTTTTTGTTTCTAGGAGAATGAGGATGAGATGGTTTCAGTGGATGATGACGCCTTCTTGAACAGCTTAGACAGTTCAACATTCGCAAACTTCTGGAATGACCCCAACATGAAGAACACTAGGGTTTAAAGTTCTTGATCAGCCCAAAACTAGAGATCAACATTCAATATGACATTTTAAAGTGTTAATTTATAGAGTATTTCCTATTTGCAGATTTATATTTTCAATATTATATAATACTAGGAAAATTGAAACAGCATAATTGATATTTTCCCTCTTAAACCAAATACTGTATTCCATTGTGTGATCAACAGCAAGTATTATCCTTTGGAATACCAAAGCGTTTGATAAAGTGAGACTCTGATAAATCAGAATGCATGTATTCATTGTATGATATATATTGTTCTGTGTCTGTAGTAATGTATTAGAACTGTTACAGTTTGCATTTATTAAGGATCTGAGATATTCGATAAGTGTACCTGTGTACACCATACTTACTACATGTACTTGATATTGGCCTATTCTCTCTGTAGGCCTAAAATGAATTTTTGATTGATTTCAAGAAACTGTTGTAATAATACCAGTGGCAAAATTATTCAAATTACTAAATTCGAGATGTATGACATTCATTTCGAGGCAGGTAATATGAGCGAATGGTGTAACTGTTTCAGTTATTGTCATTCTCGCACATGGTTCCCATATGCTTATTTATGTTACATTCCATTTGTTTTAGAATTTGTTTTTGTGCCAGAATATGAGCATTCTTTGAGATTATTATATATTTTGTACATTTTTCTGACAATACATTACTTTATTATTGGAACATGACTTGTTATTCTACATTTAAAGTATTGAATTGTTTTAATACTAGGATGTAACAGAAGTTGACTTAAATATGATATTTTTATGAAATCATAATTTTGACTGATATTTTACTCTCATTTAATATGTAGTTGTTTGCTTTAAAGATTTGTACACAATAAGCCTACATATTAAGTGTCCATTAGGTAGGTGTTTGTTGAGAATTGTACACAGTAAGCCCACATAATTGTCCATTAGGTAGGTGTTTGCTAAGTATTGTACACAGTAAGCCCACATAAGTGTCCATTAGGTAGGTGTTTGCTAAGTATTGTACACAGTAAGCCCACATAAGTATTCATTAGGTAGGTGTTTGCTAAGTATTGTACACAGTTAAGCCCACATAAGTGTCCATTAGGTAGGTGTTTGCTAAGTATTGTACACAGTAAGCCCACATAAGTATTCATTAGGTAGGTGTTTGCTAAGTATTGTACACAGTTAAGCCCACATAAGTGTCCATTAGGTAGGTGTTTGCTAAGTATTGTACACAGTAAGCCCACATAAGTATTCATTAGGTAGGTGTTTGCTAAGTATTGTACACAGTTAAGCCCACATTAGTATCCATTAGGTAGGTGTTTGCTAAGTATTGTACACAGTAAGCCCACATAAGTATTCATTAGGTAGGTGTTTGCTAAGTATTGTACACAGTAAGCCCACATAAGTATTGATTGGGTAGGTGTTTGCTAAGAATTGTACACAGTAAACCCAAATAACTTTTCATTAGGTAGGTGTGAGCCTGAAAGAGCTGTGTGCAGTAAACACACATATGTTTTCATTTGATAGATAAAAAGTTCCATGCAGTATGCAGCAGTACATCATATTTTTCACTGTATTTCTAGCATAATCTTCAAATTTATCTGATGTTTAAAAAGTGTGCAAGGAAAAAATTGATGTTACTAGAAAGGTGACTGAGTAGTAAGAAATTATTTCAATAAACACTACTAATAAACATTACCCATTGGTTCCTTATAATTTGAAATGAATTTTGAAACTTGTATGTATTCAATTTTCCTTTTCATTAGCTCATTATTCATATACAGTAAAACATGTCTTAGTGAACACCTCTCTCTAGTGAACACCTGTCCCTAGTGGGCACCCTCCTCCGCATATACACCGTTGACTTTTGTATAAATTACCCTCTCTGTAGTGAACATCTACCTACAGTGAACATTTTTTCTTGGCAAAAAAATGTTCACAATACACATATTTACTGTATTGTATTTAGATTGGGTCACCATGCCAAATATTCCATTCTTTTAAGGTGAAGGCATGTTCATTTTTCCCTCAGTATATTATATTCTCACAGCCAGAAACATTCCAATGATACTATGAATTATGTATAACTAGTTGTATTTGTATGAACATTTAACCTCTTGAATCCCAGTCTCTAAAATTGGTTGAAACCAGAGAATTTTTCATTTTTGCCACCTTTTGATATTTAACTACATTCCTATACAACTTTAGATGCTCAACTTAGTAAAATCAAACGGTGGAGATCATTTCTACAAATTCTAAAACAAGTTTTGTTTAAATTGGATGAAAATTGTTCAAATAAGAGCAATTTTAGTGAAAAATTTTGTGACGGATTTTCTCATCACCCTGGGTTTCAAGGTCATTTCTGAGGTGATGAGATATCTCGTCACTCCAGGTAGTCAAGAGGTTTTTTTTTTTTTTTATTTTTTTTTTTATTTATTTTTTTTTTTATTATTTCCTTATGCAAGATACAAGTATACAAATAACATAATACAATACTAGCAACAGCAACAGGTTGTGTAACACTTACATTTTTCTAATCAATATTTCAAAGTTAAATAAAAACTCCAAATTTGGATGGTTTCCCTTTTTGTATTTGCTTATAACATTATGTGCCACTGATATAACTACATTAATTTTTTGATCCTTTGTCCCTATCAATTTTTCTGTTGGACTCAGATCAATATTTTTGTTAAATTTATCTTGACAATATTTTTTCACTAATTCCCACACCTGTTTAATATGTGGACACTCAACAAAGAAATGCTTGTATGTGTCTCTTAATTTACATTTTTCACATTCATTATCATCTTTCTTTTTCATCTTATACAGTAGTTCATTTGTTGGGTATATTTTATAAATTATCTTATAATAAAGGGACCTAAGTCTTGGTTCCTTCAGACATTGAACTGTTCTAAATATCAATTTCATATCTATGTCACCCTCTTCCCTCCATTTTTCAGGAATATTAGGTAGTTCTGTTTGATTTTTTATTATTATATTTTTATAGTCTTTTAATTTTGCTGTTGCTATAACAATATTATTATACATATTTTCATTGCTTTTGTGAACAATGGTTTTATTATACAATAAAGATTTTAACAAATTATATTGCATTCTTAACTCTGGTCTAGGGCCTATGATATTTAAAATTTCCTCAAACTCCTTTATTTTATCATTTTCATCAATAATCTGTCTAAGTTTCTTTATACCCCTTTTAACCCATTCTTCAAAATATATAACCTTTCTACCATATCTCAAACTGTGGTTATTCCATAATATATCATCATTGTTTAATTCATTATGTAAATCTTTATTGTCTAACCATTGTTTAACAAGTTCAACATAAAATGATAGGTAGTCAAGAGGTTAATCTATTTCAGTCAATGAATTGATAGCCATCACTTTTCTAGTTATGGATGCTTGCAACATTCCACATGTTAAACCTGAGAAAAGACATTCCTTGTATTGATTTGAATATATGTGTGTGTTAGTTTCAAATTCAATCATGTGTCATTTTGTAAGCCATTGCTAAATGGTATAAATGGAAATCTCTTGAGATATAAAGAAATCATTTAAATAATTGTACATGTAATACTCTGTCTGTTTCTTAGATTTTTGTGTATAGAAATGTGTGTTACTGTTAGGCGTTATGCTTCGTCTATGCTTTGATATTATTATATGATATATACATGTACACACATATTATGTGGACATTTGTTGTTTGTATTGCATGCTATTTAAATATTGCTTATTTATTATACACATAAATTATACTTTTTTAGAAATATAAAAAGTGTTTTCTGTTAAGTTTATATGAAACTGAAAATGAAGTCCATATAACAAATATAAAAGGGAATTTCAAGTGGTTATTATGTCACCACCAAAATTGTTATGGTCTCCGTTTTTTTGTGGAGGCAGTTAGTGCTTGGTGATCGGCGTTTGGCGTCTGTAACAAATTCTTACAACTTCCAATAATTTGACAAATACTGTTTAGACTGACTCAAAATCATCTACAGGGTGGGCCAATAAAAATTGGAACATTTTTCTTTTTATTCAGTTGTCTTTATTTTTGCAGTTCAATCCATGAAAATTCAGATTAAGGTAAAATGATTATTTGTGAAAATGTTAAAGATAAAAATATGTATGTATGATTATTTTTGGCTTGTCATGGTCATGATCTGTATTCTGCGTGTCATGAAAAATTTCCAAATTTTCTCTTCTTAAGACATCACTGCTGAAAAGACAATATGCTCCCTTCAGATGGTCTCAACACAATTTCCATCAATTAAAACATATGTAGTTATCTCTAGGGGAAGCAAGACATGTCTCCCTTGGATAATATAGCTTAACTGACCTCAGCTTTTTTATCGTACCTAATAAAGGTACGATATTGTCGTCAGCTTGACAAACGGGCGGTGGGCAGGTGGGCGGCGTCTCACTTTTCAGCTTGTGTACAGGTTTCCAGCCAAACCATTTGACAGATTCATCTGAAATTTTCAGGAATGTTTCTACGTATCAAATTTAAGAACTGATTAGTGTTTGGGCATTCTGGGTAAATTTTAAGGTGGCCATTTTGGATTTTCCGTCCTAAAATCTTCACTTTCAAGACTTGTCTACAGGTTTCCAGCCAAACCATTTGACGGATTCATCTGAAATTTTCAGGGATATTTCTACTTATCAAAGTTAAGAACTGATTAGTTTTTGGGCATTCTGGGTAAATTTTTTAAGGTGGCCATTTTGGATTTTCCGTCCTAAAATCTTCACTTTCAAGACTTGTCTACAGGTTTCCAGCCAAACCATTTGACGGATTCATCTGAAATTTTCAGGGATGTTTCTACGTATCAAAGTTAAGAACTGATTAGTTTTTTGGCATTCTGGGTAAAATTTAAGGTGGCCATTTGGATTTTCCATCCTAAAATCTTCACTTTCAAGACTTGTCTACAGGTTTCCAGCCAAACCATTTGACGGATTCATTTGAAATTTACAGGGATGTTTCTAGTTCTACATATCAAAGTTAACAACTGATTAGTTTTTGGGCATTCTGGGTTAATTTTAAGATGGCCATTTTGGATTTTCCGTCCTAAAATCTTCACTTTCTAGACTTGTCTACAGGTTTCCAGCCAAACCATTTGATGGATTCATCTGAAATTTTCAGGGATGTTTCTACGTATCAAAGTTAAGAACTGATTAGTTTTTGGGCATTCTGGGTAAATTTTAAGGT